ATTTTGGTTATAATGATCCTGCATCAATCACTGCCATCACGATGCTTACCTAAAAATGTCCGGGTATGTTTTGATGCTCTCTGAAGTGACATCAGAAAATGTTCGTACTAACCAACTAAAACATCAAAAATCTGGGGGTAAAGTAAAATTTGCAGATTTTTTCATGCGACGAAAAAAACTCTGATCGAAAAACGGACCGGTAGAGGCAGAATGGTGTCAATTAGCGTACGTGCTATGCATTTTTTTCGAAGTAATGGCGTTTCGAAGTAATGACTTTTCGAAGAAATGACTTTTCGAAGAAATGACTTTTCGAAGTAATGACTTTTCGAAGTAATGACTTTCGAAGTGATGACTTTTCGAAGTAATGACTTTCGAAGTAATGATTTTCGAAGTAATGATTTTCGAAGTAATGACTGGCAGCCGTTGTGATGCAGAAACTCTTGGTCTAAGTTATAGAAAATCTCGCCTTGACCATTTTTTCGGCGGTCATAAGCACATTTCTGGCGGCGACGTCACGATGGATGATCTTTAGGCTCGACAAGAATGCATAAAAGATCCGAATTTCAATATTTTAAAAGATTCCACCTACCAGTCCATCAGCTATTTGCCAAGCGATTAGCGGAAAGTCCGCATAGGTTACTGTGGGTTCACCCTAAGTCGGAAAAAACTTATAGAGCCAGGGCAAATTAGTACGAAAATGTACTTTTAAATAATTTCTCCACCTGACTACTATGGATTTTCTTCACGATTGTCAAAAGATCACCGAGTTGACAGTACTCCGTCACGATCATGGGGTTTGATGGGTCGCTGGTACAGCCGATCAATGATAGCAGATGCACGTGAGGAGGGATCGATTTGAGCGCCTTCACCTCAATCAATATGTTGATCCTAAACGATGTTAGACACAGCAGTCGATTAAAAATACTTTGCCCGCTCGATGGCCGCGGATTTGACGGCCACTTCGTATCCGGCCGGCGTGATCGGGTACAATACCTGAATTTTTCTCATGTTGAGTTTTGACTCGCCGTAAACGCCGGGAGCTGAACCACAACCCATTAATCTCTTCTACCTTTAATGCGGGATAGACAAGCGTGCACGGCAGCGCTCCGAAGATGGTGGTCTTCTTGATCTGGTGCAAATCCGTCTTGCAAATTTCATCTCCAAAAAATAGGGCTGTCGGGTCGATCTCCCATTCGGCATCGGCGGCCAAATTGACCCATGCTTGGCGCCTGGGTGAAATCCCGCTAGCATGAAAGCCTAACGTGAAATTACCTCAAAAATTGATCAACATTTCGCTTGGCCGTTATTTCTCCGATTTGCCGTTCGACTAACGCTTCGAATTCGATGAACCGCTTTCTGAAGCATTTAATGCAAGATATATTCTATGCAAATTTAAGAACCTTCGCCATAGACAGAAAATAACGAGCAGAATCAGGATCAAAATAGTGGCTAGCGTGCCGCCGACAATTTCCCCAATTTTGAAAATAATCGTCGACGGCGGACTCTTGGAGATTGGCACGTACTCATGAGTCGTACTAAAAGTCATCTCGATCGCAAATCGCTGGGATATCTTGTCCAACCTAGCGGGGGTAGTGTCAGCCGGATCCGGAATAATTTCAGTGCATTTCCGTAGCGGGTTATCATTTCGATGCCATTCAAGCCGCGCACGCAACCGTGATGTCGGGACGGATGCTACCCAGTTTGTCTAAAGTAGGGATGGGGGCTATTCAAATCAAATCCGGGCCCAAATCGGAGGATTTGTTTGAGTTTCCGGTTCTTATTTTTTTGTTCTTATTTTCTTATTTATTCTTATTTTTGAAAAGACGAAAATGTCGAGATAAAGATCTTCGATGCCCGATTTTTTGAATTCTGTTTTTAAATTATTCGGGTAAAACTCTACTTTACCCCCCCCCCCAGCCGGAGGTTGCCAAATATTTTTTGCCATAATTTTTTATTATACCTTATTCTGAGCTACAATTTTTGATGCTCTATCGAATGGCGCGAAAATCCCGACAAAAAGCAGAAATGTCCAAAAATTTTGAGACCCTGAGGCTGGGGGAAGTAAAGTCTAGCCGTTCTGATTTTTGGGATTCCTACAAGCTCGTCTGAAGGGCCTTATTGGGTATTTTACTTTGGAACACATACGCTGATGCTAATCAACCGGGAGCTGCAGTACACTTGGTTGGGCACATCATCGAAACGGAGCCTACAAGCATCGCCTGTGTCCCCAAAAGCTACCTACCAGACATGCTGGGTCACGTTGTCGGCATCCACATAACCGATTGAATAGGATAAACTGCTGCGTGTCAAATTTTTGACCGTGAGGTAGACATATTTGAGAGGATCGTCTAGTTGAAGTAATATGTATGAACTTGAACGCCTAGCCTACCATCAAACGAAAAGAGGTATTGTAAATAGCTCCCTACGGGCGTCTGCTCTGTTGGGTAGCCATAGGCGAGTTGATCCGTGTAGCGCACGTCGAGCCCATCGCTGCCGTCCTGAAGGGAAATTAATAAGAGGATATTGCCTTGACCAATTTTTATTTAGAAAAGCGCAGGTTATGAATGAAAATGTTTGCTCCAAGCTTTGATTTCTTCCTTAAGGGCCGGTTGCTTTCAAACAATATTTAGCAATTCCTATGATTCTTACAAGGACACGTTTTTGGGTGTCGTCGGGACTTTGGCACGGGACCAAGCCTATCTTGTGCAGAATTTTACGCTGATTCCGAATATGTTAACCGTTTTTGCGGAATAGCCATTTCTCGAAAGTTATGAACGATTTAAGCCTCAAAACAGCCCAAAATCGGCTACTTTCGATAGCCATAAAAGGTGTCGCGATCCCGCGACTGCATCCGCGCGCCGAATACCGGAAGACCAAACCCAATTACCATTTATCCCCTTCGTTTACATGTTGATTTGCGTGTGTTGTCTGGTATATAATAAGCCCGCTTCTCGATGTGATCAGCTCCAGTCATCCGCTCCCAATCGCCCCGTCTCCTCATCCCCAAGCCCCCGATTTGGACCTACGAGGTGTGCCCCCACCGGGGTCACCTCTGAATAAATCGTGTGGTGCTACAAGTCTGCTCTCCCCGCTATTCGAAGGCTGAAATATGGTCCTTGTGACAATTGGTGCCCCGGGGGACCTCCGGTCTGACCCGTTCTTTTTTGTCTTCCCCCTTTTTTTGGTTTTGTTTTTTGGCTTCGTTTTCTTTTTTGGCTTTAGCCAGTGGTGTATGGCTACAGCAGAGTCCTGTGCCCACCATTTTCCCCTCTTTTTGCCTTCTTGGTGATTGGTTACGCCAGAGTCGTGTGCCCACCATTCTTTTGCCTTCCGCACGGTTCGATCCGTTTCAAAAGACGTTACAGCGCCGGAATCGTGCCTGTACGTCAAAAAAATTCTCCTTCCCCTCTCCGACTTATCTTCCCCTCCCCTTCCCCTTCCCCTTTCCCTCCCCTTTCCTCCCCTTTCCCTCCCACTTCCTGTTGCGATGACTGGATCGCTATTTCTTCGCCGCCTGGAGCGCCACGTCCCGTGTCCACCTGCCGTATTCCGTGCTCCCTTCTGTTCGCCACCGCGAGGATGTTGAGTGCGGGCGTCATCAGCGTGTACAATGGCAATGGCGTCTTCACGAGTACGAGGGCAACGTCATCGTGTACCAGGGCAACAACACCGTGATCAAGGGCATCGTCATCGTGCTCAAGGGCAACGTCATCGTGATCAAGGGAAACTACTACGTGTACAAGGGCAACTACTACGTGTACAAGGGCAACGTCTACGTGTTCAAGGGCAATAACACCAGCGTCGTCGCGATCCTGAGAAGCTACATGGTGTACTCGGGCGCCATCATGCTCTAAAGGCCCGTCGACCTGTCGAAGCAGCACCGAAGGAAGGGGCGATGAAGCGCATTGTCAAGTCTCGTCAGAAGGGACGCCTCGAGACGACTTCTCGACTACGCCGATTCAAGCCTCGTCCCCCGGGAGTGTCGCGATCCCGCGACTGCATCCGCGCGCCGAATACCGGAAGACCAAACCCAATTACCATTGATCCCCTTCGTTTACATGTTGATTTGCGTGTGTTGTCTGGTATATAATAAGCCCGCTTCTCGATGTGATCAGCTCCAGTCATCCGCTCCCAATCGCCCCGTCTCCTCATCCCCAAGCCCCCGATTTGGACCTACGAGGTGTGCCCCCACCGGGGTCACCTCTGAATAAATCGTGTGGTGCTACAAGTCTGCTCTCCCCGCTATTCGAAGGCTGAAATATGGTCCTTGTGACAAAAGGCTTCGGAATAGGTTTTAGACAAAACTTGCACAGTTCTTGTGCATCTTGTTCAGAAAAAAATTCTCTATAAAATAAGCTACTTAACTCAAAAATGCTGGAATTTTGAAAATTTTTGTAAAATTATGGACCTCCTAATTTATCAAATTTTTCCAACTTTTCAATGATTTTGAAAAAGATGGTACATTTTATAGAGAATTTTTTTTCTGAACAAGATGCACTATCTGGTTTTGTCTAAAACCTATTTTGAAGCCTTTTATGACTATTGAAAGTAGCCGATTTTGGGCTGTTTTGAGGTTTAAATCGTTCATAACTTTCGAGAAATGGCTATTCCGCAAAAACGGTTAACATATTCGGAATCAGCGTAAAATTCCGCACAAGGTAGGCTTGGTCCCGTGCCAAAGTCCCGACGACACTCAAAAACGTCTCCTTGTTAGGCGAGAGGAGAGCTCCGCTAAAAATACAGTCGATTTTATAACCCTAACCGGAGCTCTCGAAAAGTTGCGACGCACGGATTATTTGGAGGCAGGCTTTTGGGGCTGTAGTTCAAATATTACGACCTCATCTTAAAAATCCTTAAAGTCCATGTTGAGTCTACTTTTTATCTTTAGCTTTGTTACTAAGAAAAGTTAGGATGCAAGCGATAGATATTTTTATAGAGCATTCAGTATGTCTACACTTATTTTGGGTCACCCTGTATATATTAAAATCCGTCCAACATACCGCTTTCCAGGTAAGACCAAACGAACTATGCGTGCTAAACAGTACGTCAAAGGTCGCGTTGCCAAAGCAAAGCGTAGCGACGGGACCGCTCCAGAGTAGCGCCGAGATTTCGGTACGTCCGTCACTAAAATGGATTCAGTTAAGTCCATTCAACACGATACTTACAATGAAAATATGTCGACCAGATGCGTTTCGTCTCCATCGGCGTCAAGCGAGTGGGCATAAGCAGCAATCAACACATCGTCCTCGATCTATATTATCGTACTTCCACCAATAAAACCCTGCTCCTTTAGTTTTTTTAAGCACGGTCTAATTTTTAATTGGCTGCAGTTCTTGAAACGATAATTATATGAAAGTCGTTTTGTCGAAATTTATTCACTGTCCCTTCCCCCAGCCGACCGCACCTACCTTATCTCAGCTCCCTGCTCATCTACAGGTGTGTAAATTATACCAAAATGGCACTTGATCTTGCCCATTTTCCGACAAGTATTTTGGTATACTTTACGCCTGTAAAAGAACAGAAAAGAATCAACGAGATCAACAAAAATTGGGTGGCGGGTAAACTGCACTCTCACCCCCATCTTTTGCGCAACATCCTTGCCCGCACTCACATTTTATGCCTCTTCAATTACATGAAAAGTATTCTGTTAAAGGGGCGGGGCCTGCTTTCAAAAAATCACGGTAATACGATAAAAATGTTTACCTACCGTAACGTTTTCCGACGTCCGTATCGTGGCAAAATAAATTTGATTATAGTAGGGCGCGGAGGACGCGGCAAAAATGTGACAAGCACCTGCGCCGATTTTTGCGATCGACTGCATAGTTTCAAATAGCACAACGTGAGTAGCGAGATCTGGTGGCACTGAAAGCAATTATCGAATTTTTAGAAATTGGAGTACTCTCGTAGAATTGAACGCCGAGCACCGTGAAAGAATATGTATAATCAGAGAAATTTGCGTGTAGATCAGAAAATTCCTGGAGCTCGGAAATTTGGACAACGGATGGTAGATCTTCGACAGTAAACGAAATTCCATACGATGTGCTGGCAGTCCAGGTACTGAAAATCATGGAGGGCCGCTTGCCACAGGTTAAAAGCACCCACTGGCGAGTAAGCAATGGCTGGACCGCGACCTCATTGAGATAGAAGGGGACCCTCTCAAAACGCGGAGCCGGCGCATCGTACGGACATGATAGACCGATCGTTATACGAAGTTGGCATTCAGCGCTACATTCCGCACGGAAAATAGCGTCCTGAAAACAATCTACGGTATCCAGAGAAACTACGCTGCTTTTACGACTTGCTTCCGGGAACTGACCTTGCCGCTAAGGGCGTCACGATGCAGTGTGGCCGACGGCGAAGACTGTGTAATCCAAAAAGTGGCGACGTCTTCAGCACTACCTAGCAGGAAAATAAGTGAAAACCGGTGTTGGCTAGCCGATTATATTTGAGGAAACGTATCTTCGGGTAATTGCTGAATTGCCGGTCCCAACACCCACCTTGAGCTAGGAACACGACGGCCCAAACGCAGAGTCGACCTCTCATGTAAAGGTTCCGTTTTCAAAGCTAACAATAACTATTTTTGCAAGTTCTCCGCGGGGTTTAAATGCTGTACTTCTCTTATCACCTGGACCCTTTCAGCGAGCACAACTAATACCTGGTCAGTTCAATGATGTTTCTGTGATGCGCTGACGATTATGTGCAACGATCTATTATTAAACACCAAATTTTTTCTCGAAATTATATACTGCAAAAAAATTTCGGAAAAGCGCTAACTCTTGCTTCTCGGCGTCGAGAATTAAGATGACGACAAGTAGTTTCCTGCTTCCCGTCCGGGTCCTTGCAGCGTGCAGTCATCTTGGAGCCATTACGCACCTAATGGCGTATCAAATATAGCTTAAGGCCCTTCCCCTCTTGAGATATCCTCCGGACAACCTGACGGAAGTTGCATGCAAATGCACACACACAGACACTATTTTTTTATATATAGTAGGATGATGAGATACAGAACGAAAAATAATCAAGAAATTTTTTCTAGATAGCTCTTGTGCTGGGCTTCTTTTGGTCCGCCCGAGTCCGCTACCTCTTCCAACGGATCGTGGCCGACACTGAACGTTTATAAAGTATCGACTGGACGCAAAAATCCGCACCTCAAGTTCATATAGTATTCATTGTGCTTGACCATTTGGAAATGACTCCGAAGTCTTGCCGATAGTTTGTCAAATTTTGGGCGCAGTTTCGGGTTTATCCGCCAACAACTTTGCATGATCTCAGTCCTACAAAAAAATTTGTTTTAGTATCTGGCCTTGCATCCAATGTGGTGTGTCGCTAGGTGGAACAAGTGTTAAACCACTGTTGAGCTGATCGGACAATTCCTCGACTGGTATATCATCGTGCGGGGTTTGTCCGAATGAGTGCATTTCCCAGAGTAGTACCCCGAACGACCAACTGGAAGAAATAGATATGCACGGAGCAGACAAAAAATATCTCACACATCCGACTTTTCCGAAAATTTTCCCTCCTTTGCTGCTTCAGGGGCACACCAACGGAGGGGGATTCGATTTTGACGCAGCTTTTGCGCGTAGTGATAGTCTTCACCCTGGCGGCTCTGCGCGAAATCGCATAGCTGAAAACTTCGAGGCTAGTAAAAGATTTTCAAATCCGAATTACCTTTACCATCTTTTCTTTCGTTACCAATACATTCCGTGCGGCGACGTCACGATGGATGATTTTTAAGCTAGCCAGGAAGGACTGAAAACGCGTGAGGCCGAAGCGTAAACCTCGGACCGGAGCAGAGAGCGAGAGGGAGAGAGAGAGAGAGAGAGAGAGAGAGAGAGAGAGAGAGAGAGAGAGAGAGGGAGGGGGGGGGGGGGGGACAAAGAGAGAGGGAGGGTGAGATGAGACATGAGAAAGCAAGAAAGAAAGAAATGGTTGCTTCGCCTTACCAGTCCATCGGCAATTTGCCAGCCAATCAGTGGAAAATCTGCGAAAGTGATCACCAAATCTTCGTCTGCCTAAATAGTTGCTGACGAGTGGCCAGTTTTTTCTATCGGCTATACCTGCTTCCTGCGAATCCTCTTCACAAGTGTCAGCAAATCACCAAAGGCACAGTATTCTGTCACTATCATCGGGTTTGCTGGATCAGTGCTGCAGCCGATCAATGAGAGCAGATGTGCATGAGGCGGTATCGATTTGAGTGCTTTGATTTCCGTCAATATATCGATTCTATAACCAATCATATCATCCTTCATAGGTATGTATTACTTGGCATTTTCCGTCACCGCCGATTTCGCGACCACCTCGTATCCGGCCGACGTGATCGGATAAACGACCTGTAAAACACCGATCATTATGATTCAATTTCCCAGACGACCTTTAATGCCGGGTATACATCCGTACACGGCAGTGCTCCATAAACTGTCGTCTTCTTCAGGAGGTGCAGGGCATTTTTGCAAATTTCTTTGCCAAAGTATAGCGCTGTCGCATCGATCTCCCATTCAGCATCCGCGGACAAGTTCACCCAGGCTTGTTTTCTGAATTGGCAATGCAGGGAGATTAGACGAGCCCAGGTTCCCCAAGAAAATCAATTCCAAAAAACCACCTGATGAATTGCTCGATTTGGCGCCGAGCCGTGACTTCTCTAATTTGGTGAGCAATCATCTCCTCGAATTCCAGCAAGCGTTTTCTATTTACAGTGAAGATAAAATCATGCGTTAATTCATACCGGCGCCATAGGCAAAACATGACGAGCAAGGCCACGGCAGAAATGCTCCCCAGGACGGCGCCAACGATAATTCCAACTTTTTGAATGTTCACGGACTGTGGCTTTTCGGAAGTCTGCGGATCCGCTACTGTCGTGCTAAAAAGCGACATAATCCGGCTACGAAACGTATTCCAACCTTGAAGGAGTGGTTTGAGGCGTATCCGGGATAATTTCCGTGCATTTCCGAAGTGGATCATCTTCTCGATGCCATTCGAGCCGGGCTCGCATTTTGGCAGTTTGGAGGCTTGGCAGCCAATTGGTCTAGAATCAAGGCCGGTGTGTGTGCACAACACGTATGCTGCTGATTTGCGACACTTACGATAACCAGAAATAACCGGGAGCTGCAGTAAACCTCGCCGGGAACGTCATTGAAGCGGAGCCTACGAACCAGGATCGAATGCAGCGCGAACCACCTACACGACTTCACGCGTCACGTTGTCCGCATCCCGATAAGTCATTGTGTAGGATAACGTACCGCGAGTTAAATTTTGAATTGTGATGTAGAAAAAGTTTAGCGGATCTCCTAAATTTTACACGACTTTGCGGTACACATTGGGGTAACGGGGGGGGGGGTAACGGGGGGAGAGGTGGCAGGAGGGCACTAATTAATATGATATTTTCAATTATATTATTTTTGAAACTTAAAAACTGAAACCATATTTAAAGATCTTATTATCTTAAAAGAATGGTCCGTGCTCCCCGTTACCCCGGCTCCGTTATCCGATGTCAACCCGTTTACTGCGACGAACAACCTACCCTCATACGCATAGGTATAATGGAAACTGCGCGCTGATGGTAGGTTCTCTGTCGGGTAGCCGTAGCCGAGTTGATCGGTGTACCGCATGTCGATCCCATCACTGCCATTCTGCGGACCGGGTTGTGTTTTTTTCAGTTACTAAGCACAACTCAGTAACACGAATGCCGAAACAAGAGACCAAGCACTAACCGCGGTCCATGTTGTATCCTGTTCGAAGGACTGCGCCTGGTATAAGATGTCAAACGTCGCCGAGCCAAACCGAAACGTGGCGACGGCGAGGCTCCAAAGCAGCGCCGATATCTTGGTACGGTTATCCCTAAAGGTTCAAGCAGCAAACTACGGAACGCGTGAACGGTTAGGAGATATGATATAGCTCAAAAAATTACATAAAAAAATTGTCGACGAGACGCGATTCATCCCCATCGGCATGTAATGAACGCGCGTAGCCGATGAACTCTCCGCCATCCTGCAGTTTTACCAATTGCTGTGCAATTGCGCAAATTTACCGTGAGGTTGTCGGTCAGTTGTATCGCATCAAAGTACAGCAGATTGAAATTTTTCCCGGGTGGAGCGACAAATATATGATCCGCTCCAGCCCCAATTCTGGTAATCGATTGTAGGGGCGTAACCAGTACCACATGGGTGTAGAGATTTGGTGGAGCTGATGGCGACATAGTTTTTAGGTGCTATAGCACTGAAAGCATACAAATAAAGAATTGGTCGCTGAGCACGGTGAATGCATATGTGTATCCTGGACTGCTTGAGTGTAAATCGGAGAATTCCTGTAGTTCCGAGAGGCTGATCAAGGGTGGCAAATCGGTGACGTGGAGTGAAACTCCGTACGCTGCGTCGGAGGTCCAGGTGCTATCGTGGTGTTTTGGTTCCGACATGCCAAAAAACTTACTAGCTCGAGGATAACGCCTTGACGACGGTGCCATTAATCGTAAAGGGAACCTCTTCAAAATGGGGCTGCACGGCATCGTTTGGACACGATAGACCGATGGTTATACGAAGGCCACATTTGGTCGTGCATTCAGCGTTGAAGATGATCTCCTGAGAACGTAATTGTTGTGGAGCGAAAGGTTAGCTTCTCTGGTTGCCTATCCCTATTGCGCCTTATGACCGTATCCCCGGGGTCCTGCAACGGCCCCCATTTCGTATGAAGGTCGTTAATTTTTTTCTGCACGCAGACACTGCTTAAATTTTGAAAGAAACCTGGCCAGCGAGATCCTCGCGATGTTTTGTGATAGATGGGGAGGATGGACTAATGGTAAAAGTCGCGGCGCTGCCTATAAATCGTACTTCATCAAAGATCACTTTGTGGTTAGATTTTCTAGTGGTATCGCCGCACACCCACCTTGGCGATAAAATAAGAGTGGCCAGAGAAACAAGGGCACTTTCATAGAAACTTTTGAAGGTGGACTAGCTAGTACACGTGCTAAAGGATAGAAGTAGCGAGTTTGGAACCTTTACGGTTTTTGGCAACGGTACTTAGCAACGCTGTTTGCTTGCCAGCTTAACACCGGCGACATCGCGGCCGACACGGCTGATATGAGTTACAGCGACGTCCGTGAGACAACAGCCGAAATAGAAAATTTAAATATGTGGTAAATACGGCCTGATACCCTAATCACGATAGGCAAAGACGTTTCCTGAGCAGCTGATTTAACAAAATATTAGCAGCATTGTTTTAGCTTTTCAGTCGTTGTTAATATTGATCTTTTTCGGGCTTGGCTGGAAATTCCAGGCGGAACAGGACCATTAAAATTTATTGTTTATACAGAACCTTTTAATGCTTCTCCGTGTTTGTGTCCGATGAAATGTCCTGTCGTGCTAACGGCTAAACCGTATTTGAACCAGATCCGGCAACAGAACCGTGTGTAATATCGTAGCCTTGACGCATGCCGCTACCAGCGGGCCGACGCTGGTGGTTTCTCAAGTATTTGCTGAAAAACCGGCTTCCAGCCCGCCCCAAACTCTGAAAAAGCATCGCCTGGATTACAAATAACAATTTATTTATTGATGGGTCAGTCACAAATTCAAATCCTCGGGAGATCAACTTGAAATCGTCAATTTGTAAAGAGAAACGATAAGATAATGCGCCAAATTATTGAGGAAAATTATCTATGTCGTACCATCGGTTTCTTTTCTTGAGCCTGTGTCCGTTCCAGTGCAATTAAACGTTTCCAGTGGATCGTAGCCGACACTAAATGTTTTTGCCGTTAGATCGACCAGAAAAAAAAATCTGGACCTCAAATTCAGATAGTATTCATTGTGCTTGACAAGCTGGAAATGGCCGCGAAGTTTTGCCGATAGTTTGTCGAAATTCGGGCGTAGCTTCGGCTTTAATCGCCAGCAGCTCTGCATGATCTCCACCCTTCAAAAAAAAGTATTTTGCGCAGTATGCAAGCCTTACATCCAATGTGGTGTGTCGCTCGGTGGAACTAGCGTGACACCATTGCTGAGCCGAACGGGCAATTCCTCGAGGGGAATTTCATCGAAGGGGGTTTGCCCGAAGGAATGCATTTCCCAGAGTAGGACTCCGAACGACCATCTTGAAGTGAGAGGAAATGTTTTAAACCAAGATGCTATCCTACACATCTGATTTTTCGGAAAAATGCCCATTCTGCGCTGCTTCGGGGGCACACCATCGGATAGGGGTCCGATTTTGGCGCGGTTTGTTAGTGTAGGCATAATCTTTTCCTTGACGACTTTCCGCAAAATCAGATATCTGGAAAGAGACACGTATGATAAGGGGAACCGACAAAAACCAAATATTACCTTTACCATTTTTTCTTTAGTTATTAACACATTCCTGGCGGCAACGTCACGATGAATCATGTGGATGCTGGCTAGGAAAGACTGGAACGGGAGTGATTCATGGTTTATTAGCTAAAGGGCAAGAGGGAGAGAGAGAGAGAGAGAGAGAGAGAGAGAGAGAGAGAGAGAGAACCCTCGACTTACCAGTCCGTCCGCCACCTGCCAGCTGATCAATGGGAAATCCGCGAACGACAATGCCAGATCCTCTTGTTTCTGCTGAAAGCAATTGTCAAAATGCTGCTTTGCCAGCAGCTATGTATACCTGTTTCCTGCGAATCCTCTTCACAAGTGTCAGCAAATCACCGAGTGCACAGTACTCTGTCACTATCATCGGGTTTGATGGATCAGTGCTACAGCCGATCAATGAGAGTAGATGCGCATGAGGTGGTATCGATTTCAGTGCCTGGATTTCACGCAATATATCGATTCTGGAACAAAAATTTGTCATAATGCCAGCAATCACTTGGCTTGCTCCGTCGCCGCCGATTTCGCGACCACCTCGTACCCGGCTGGCGTGATAGGATAAGTCACCTGGCATATGTTAGCCGTTAGGACCGTCAGGAAAACGGAATGACCTTTAAAACCGGATACACATCAGTGCACGGGAGTGCCCCATAAAGTGTCGTCTTCTTCAGCAGGTGCAATTCATTCTGGCAAATTATTTTCCCAAACCAGAGCGCCGTCGGGTCGATCTCCCATTCGGCGTCCGCGGACAAGTTTACCCAGGCTTGCTTTCTGAATTTGGCATACGAGAATGTTAGCAAAGCACAGTTTCCGGAATAATAAAAATATCAATTTCCGGAGCTACCTGATAAGCTGCTCGATTTGGCGTCGAGCTGTGATTTCTCTAATTTGACGAGCGATCATCTCCTCAAATTCAATCAAACGTTTCCTAATCGGGCATAGAGCAAATAAGGCCTCAAAACCTTCTCCACAGACAAAACACGACCAGCAAGACCACCGCAAAAATGGTCCCCAACACGGCGCCAAAGACAATTCCAATTTTTTGAATGTTTGCTGGCTGTGGCCTTTCGGAAGTCTTCGGGTAAGCTACTGTCGTGCTGAAAAACGTCATTAACCGGATAGGAAGCGTACGCCGACCTTGAATGGACGATCACTGGCGGATCCGGGATAATTTCCGTGCATTTCCGAAGTGGATTATCGTTTCGATGCCATTCAAGCCGGGCTCGCATTTTGGAACTTTGGAGGTTAGGCAGCCAAAAGGTCTATAAGAAGTTTCGGTTTTCAGCATGGTAGTTTTAATCCGTAAAACTCTTAAGAAAATCACCGCGATTGATAGATTGCGATCAAAATGCTACCTTACTGGACATCACGACATACAGGGTGTCCCACAAAAAGCACCCCTCCGGCATTTCGCCGTATTACATCCCAACAGTCTCAAAATTTGACTGGAGGTGTACCAGACCCTAAATAACCACAATCCTGAATTATAGCCCGATCGCTACAGTAGTTTTCGAGTTATCGCCAAAATACTGTTTTTAGGTGGTTCTAACAGTTTCTTCGGCTATCTTTTCGACTTTGCATCGATTTGCATCGACTTCCGGCTGCGAATCCCTAATTTCGCTTAATACCGGGGGTGACTTTGCGTTATAAAAATTGTTGAAATCAACGGTTATTTGAATAATCTTAAGCAGAAAAATCTCCAGGGGTAAAGAAGGCTTAACCCTTCATTTTCACTTAATATTCGATGGGTCGATTCCGACGAAAACCATATGAAAAACGGATAATAAAGTTTATTTTTGTTGTATCTCGGAGATTACAGTAGTTGGCGGGCTATAACTCAGGATTGTGGTTATTTAAGGTCTGTTACACCTCTGGTCCAAATCCGGGACCGATCAGATGTAATACGGCAAAATGCTTCGGAGGGGTGCTTTTTATGGGACACCCTGTATAATCGACGGGCGCTCAGAGGTAAATTTTTTCCAAATGGACAGAATATTTCACGTTTTTTTCACAACGCACTCAAGTTACCGCAAACCAAACAAAAATTTTGGCTTCCCAGACCCTTAATGTCGATTTACCACAATCCGAAATATCCGTGAGCTGCAGTAAACCTGATCGGGTTCCACATCGATACGGAGCCTGCAAACAGCGATCGACTGAGGAAAAATCGGCCCACGCGACGTCATGCGTTACGTTTTCATTATCCCGATAGGACATTTGGTACGATAATGTGCCGCGCGTCAAGTTTTGGACGGTAAGGTAGAAATATTTGAGTGGATCGCCTAAATTCCGGCCCTCGTTTTCCTAATGAACAGATACCAGGAAAAGAGTAGGCATACAAAAAATTCCCCGTTGTTGGCAATTTCTCGGTTGGATAGCCGTAGCCGAGCTGATCGGTGTATCGCATGTCGATCCCATCACTACCATCCTGCGGACCGAGGTGGGTTATTTTTCGATTAAGAAAGTCGTCAACGCCGAATGAACGGTTCCGGAACCACCGATGTCAAGAGACCAAGCACCAACCCAGGCCCATAATGTATCTTTTGCGAGGGGCCGCGCCTCGTATGAGATGTCGAACGTTCCTGAGCCAAACCGAAATGTTGCGACGGGAAGGCTCCAAAGCAATGCAGATATCTTGGTACGGCCATCCCTAAAGGGTTCAAGTAGTAAATTACGCCACGCGGCACTTGCTAAAAAATATCTTATAGCGCAGAAAGTTACATAGAAAAATTGTCGACGAGACGCGATTCATCCCCATCGGCATGCAGTGAACGCGCGTAGCCGACAAACCCTCCACCAGCCTGCAATTTTACAAATTGTTGTGCAATTGCGCAGTTTACCGTGAGGTTTTCCGTTAGTTGTATCGCTTCAAAATACAACAGATTGTAATCGGGTCGGGCGACAAATATGTGATCCGTTCCGGCACCGATTCTGGTAATCGTTTGCAGAGGCCTGACCTGTACGACATGCGTGTAGAGGTATGGTGGTGCTAAATTGTTTCTTGTATTTGTCCATTGTATAAAAAAACTATACCATTAAAGAACTGGTCGCTAAGCACGGTAAACGCATATGTGTATTTGGAATTGTTTGCATTTAAGCTCGCATATTCCGGCAGCTCAGTGAGTCGGATTTCTGTTAGCTGGTCTTCCACGCGCAACGAAACTCCGTATGCCACATCCGATGTCCAAGTGCTGAATCGGCATTATGTTGAGACGTGGCGACAACGCACTAGCTCCGAAATACAGCTTTTGCTACCGCGTCGTTGATGGTGAACGGAACCGCTTCAAAATGAGGCTTCGCAGCATCGTGTGGACACGACAGACCGATGGTTATACGAAGGCGGCATTTCATCGCGCATTCAGCGTTGAAGATAAACTCCTGACAACGTAATATGATTCTTGCTGCACTTCCGAGACCGTTTCTGTTTTGAAAAACAACCTGGCCAGCGAGATCCTCGCGATGTTTTGTGATAGAAGGGGAGGTTGGACTAATGGTAAAATTATCAGTCTGGCCTGAAAATTGTGTATCCAAGCGTCAGCTTTTTTGGTCGAAACAATGCAGGTAATCTCACCCACCAAGACGGTAAAATAGGAACACGCACAGGAGCACGTGTAATTTCATACAAAATGTCCGATCGGACTAGCTGACGCACGTGTCCAAAGGGCTTTTAGAAGATATACACCCTGAAGATGTAAAACGTACGTTTGTAAAACGCTCGTTAGTTGTTTGTTGGCCAGCTTATTTCCGGCGACATAGTTCCGATAGGGCTGATACGAGTTTCAAAAAGTGTGTCTCTTAGGGCGCGTGACGCGCGGATTATCACGAATCGCGGCATCTGCCAGAGCTAGTTGCCAGCCGTACGACGTAGATTGAGAAAAAAGGAACGCATACGGCTCGTGATGTGAACGTTAATTAGTTTATCTAATTACTGGAAATGGTTCATTTCCATTTCAATGTTTCTGCTCGCGTGCAGCCGGAGAAGTGGACGACGCCTCGGAGCCAGCGTGCCGCACACTATCGTAACTGAGGTCGAGTTTGTGGATTTTTTTGAAAAATCCCCTACTTTTTTTTCAAAAACTTTTTTGGGTTTTGGGTGGTTTTTTCCCTTTGTTTCCACCCCCCGCGCCCACTGCCCCCCCCCTTTTTTTTTTGTGTCGGGGGTTTTTTTTTTGTCTTTCCTTTTTTCTCCGGCTTGTGGGGTTAGCCCTTCCTCCCCCCCAAACTTCAGGGGTTTTTTGTGTTTTTTTTTTTTTTTTTTTTTTTTTTTTTTTTTTGTTTTGCCATCCCCATTATTTTTTTATTTGTTTGTTTGTTTTTTTTGTTTTTTTTTTTTTTTTTTTTGTTTTTTTTTTTGTGTTTTTTTTTTTCCCTCTTTCCCTCTCTTTTGTTTTTAGCGGCGCCCCCCCCCCCGACGCCCGGAAAATTTTTTTGTAATGGTTGCTGGTCCTCCGCGGCTGGTCTCTCTACTAAACCGCGTTACAGAAAGGTCTCACCCCCCCTTTTGTTGTTTTTTTTTTTTCTGTTGTGTGTGTGTTTTTTGGGGGGTTTTGTCCTGCGCTGTGGTTTGTATTTTTTTTTTTTTTTTTTTTTTTTTTTTTTTTTTTTTTTTTTTTTTCCCTCTTTCCTTTTTGGTTTTGGTATTGGCGACCCGTCCCCCGTTTTCGTTTTTTTTTTTTTTTTTTTGTCTCTGGGTTTTTTTCGGGGCCGTTTTCTGTTCCGGGGTTGCCTCGGCCGTCGGTCTCCCCTGTTTCCCCTCGGTTTTTGTTTCGGGTGGTTGGCACAACCCCGCGGGGCCACCAAATTTTTTTTTTTAAATTTTTTTTTTTTTTGTGGTCTTTAGTGGAGGGCATTTTTGGGTGGGTTGTTTGGGGTGTCCACCCGCAAAAAGGAGGGATATTTGGGGAAAAGCACCCTCTCCCCCCCCCCGCTCCCGTTGTTTTTTTTTTTTTTTTTTTTTTTTTGTTTTTTTTTTTTTTTTGTTTTTGGGGGTGAGTGTAAACTTTCCGGGTTATAAAAATGTATATATTTTATTTGGTTCTTTATTCGGAAATTGATATTTTCTTTTAACGGACACCCCACGAACAGCATGGGAGGGAATATTTTTTGTTTTTTTTTTATTTGTAAATAAAAAAGATAACAAACATCAGCATATTTTTTTATAAAATTTAAATTTTTTTTTTTTTTTTTTTTTTTTTTTTTTTTTTTTTTTTTTTTTTATATGTTTTTTGGGTTTTTTGTGTTTTTTTGTTGTTGTGTGGGGTTTATATTTGTGGGTGGGTAATTTTTTTTTTTTTCATTGTTTTTTATATTTTTTTTCATTGTTTTTTTGTTTTTTGTGTTTTTTTTTTTTGTGTGAAAACCAAAAAAAGAAAGAGGAAGAGAAAAGGGGTTGGGGTTTTTGAATTGGGTTGGGGGGTTTTTTTTTTGTTTTTTTTTTTTTTTTTATTTTTTTTTTTTTTTTTTTTTTTTTTTGCCGGGTTTGTTTTTGTGGGCAAGTGGAGCATTAAGGTTTGAAGTATTAGTTATTGGAACTAGGGTTTTTTTTAAATTTTCGCGCGCTTGAGGGGGCATCTTTTTTGTGTTTTTTGTTGTTTTTTTTTTTTTTTTTTTTTTTTTTATTTAAGGTTTTTTGTATTCTGGAAAAGCCAGTTTTTCTTTTTTTTTATATGCCGGGGCATTAATTTTAGGGCCAAACCCTTCCCTCTGCCGATTTTATGCAAATCCGCGTTTCAAATGCTTGCTCAAGCTAACAGTACGACGCTGTTTTTATGCTATCTTCATAAATCATTTAATATCGAACGCGGGCTACAAAAAAAAGTAGAACGAAAAGCGTTATTTGCCTTGTCGAGAGCTTTCGAATGGTGCAAAAATCATCCGGGTCCGACTTTTCTCCGGACCACTCAACGGGGTAGATTTTTTTGGGACAACTGTAGAAACCTCTCTCTCATCTTTATCTTTATCACAAAACAATTGAAATTACAAAAATGATCGCAAAAAGGAGATTGAGATTGGGGTCGTAATTTTTCTCCGTAGTCAGCGCAGGCCGCCGCGAGGTGTAACCATTTAGCGGAACGCACGCGATCCCCGGATCGGCGTGCCACATATCTAGGCGCACCCGCGCCTTTCCTTCGTGATCAGGGACGAATTTGAACTAGAGGTAAAACGAGTGAATTTGATCACAAATTTCACCTACCCACACGTTCTCCAAATCCGCGGCGCAATAAACACTTGGTGACGGTGCGGTGAAAACGAGGCTAGGCAGTTGGGGTTAATTCAGATCGATGTGGTACCTCGCGTTCTCCACGTCCAACAATGGGTGCCCAATGCCGAAGTTCAGGGTTCCGTTTGCCACATCAAAAATTGTCATTGTCAGAAAAATGGATTGCGTGGAATCTGGAAGAATACGAAAGGCTTTGGGGGTAGGAAAATTGTTTTTAACACATACGCACCTCCAATCCCGATAGAACTGGTGATCCCTGACGGATAGAAGACCGGGTAGTAATGGCTCAGGAATTCACGGTATTGCATGTCACCGGGCCTTGCTGTGACGTTCTAGAAAGCCAATAGCCAGAATTTTCCGGAATCCCTTCGGCAACAGGCATACTTACCCTCTCTTTAGGGCTCGCTTCCCCAAAGTTAGCCGTAACGACGATGTCATAGGTACAATCATCAAAGAGAACTTTCACGGACGGACGATTCCAGCTTTGCCACCACAGAACCCGCTGTTGACTTCTATAACGAGCTGCATAGATAACTAACTAACTGAGTGGGTTAAGTTTCGTGCTTCTTTGAAAACATTTTCCCCGAAAAATTTTCCTTCCCAAAAACCCCTCTAGCGGCTCGCAATCCATTTTTACGACTTACGTATTCGTCGAAAGCTCCCGTCGAGATAAGGAGATATGGTCTTGTCTTTTCAAATTCCCGAATTTTTTTACATTTACTAGTATTTTTGGGGAAAGGACCGGATTTTTGTAGCTTTTTCCCAAGCAAATTAACAACATGACTTGTAACAAAAACCCAATTTTGCAAATGTCTACGCTTTTCCTGGCAGCACGAAAGCACTTTTTTAAAAGCCATTTAAGAAACAACACTTCGATGGAGCGGAAGGCGACTAAATTGCGTTTTTGGAGAATAATGCCTAACTTTTGCCAAAAAAACGATGAAAATCGATCTAACAATTCGGGAATTTGAAAAGACAGAGAGCGTCGAGAGCTTTCGAAAGAGGCTTAAAGGGATACCCAAGGTTTTGGCGGCAAATATATAGTTATTTATTCCGGGCAGTACAACTGACGCGCGAATTTCGTGCGGCAACGGGGGCCCATTGCCGCACAAAATTCGGAGCGTTTCCCACTTGTGGCGTCCCCATCCCACCCAGTGGCTTGCCACTATGGCCTAATGGATAGCATCCAGGTCTACAAATCGGGGTCCCGGGTTCGACGCCCCCCCCCCCGCCGCATGGTTGGGCGCGGCTCAAGTTTGGACTCGACTAGAAGAGGGTTTCTTTGAGGAGACCCTGTACATTGGATAGTTGCCGATCAATTGTTCCTCGGCGGTCCAATTCTTGCGTACGATCCCGGCGTAAACATCAAGGTGGCAGTTTGCGCCTTTCTGAGATGGCGGTATTGTAAGGATGTCCTGCGCCTACGTTTTCGGGCGCCAGAGTCGTTTGCTGGAATACCAGTAAGCTACTCGCACGGCTGATGAAAAAATGAGTTTGTTTTTCTCCGATGGCACGAAAATGTTGGAAGTCAGGATCAACCAACACGACATGCACCTTGAAATCCGGAGGGTCTGAAAACAGTTTTAAGACAAACAATGCTTGTGATGGCCGACGGCTAGCTGAAACCAGGCCGTACCCTCGTAATAATACTCGGACGTAACGGTAAAAGCGTAGGTGTAGTTGGAGTAGTGGTGAGTGAGGTTCGTGAATTCCGGGTCTTCGATCAGGGTCAGCGGATTCGGGAGGTCCCTTGCTCGTAGCGACATCCCGTAAGAATATTGTGATGTCCATGTCCTGCATAAATATTTCATTGGAAGAACGCTTCAAATTACGTGTAGCCTGGCTCCTGCGTGCCATTTATAACGAAGGGCATTTTTTCGTACAGCGGGGAACCATCCCTGGGGCCCTGAAGTCCCACGTCGAGTTGAAGCCTGCACTTTGACCCACAATCCGCGTAGACCGTGTAATTCTGAAAAAAAAAGTTTTATCCAATGGATGAACTCACGTCCAACCTGTGAATCCATAAGCTAAAGCGAGTTTGTAATCCTACCCAAGCCCAACTCTAACGCAACCCAAGTTTAGCCCAATACCAAGGCTTCATTACCAAAATGCTAACGAGGTGCGGTCTGGCCATGCCGGCTATTGGCTGAACAGCGGTCAGCTCGTCGAGACAAGCCGTTGTGGCCCCAATCGCTAAATACTTGGTTGTCGGATTCAGAAATTTTGACCTTGCCGCAGCAGCCAAAATATCAGCCAGAGTAGCAGCGACATGATCGATTTCACAATTGGCCTTGGTTCTTGGCACAAATGACAGGGAGGTGCTCAAAAAGCGTGCTGGCTCGCTCCGCATTATTGCAGCTTACGATGATCCAAAGATAAGGGCAGCGTAAGGACATGTTCAGCGCCCAAAACACGCACGGGCTGTAACTGCGTGAAAAAGCCGACCTGTTGCGTCAGAGTAAAACAGCTGATTCTGCATTGGCGAGCGTTCACATCTCATTGTAAAAGCTGGCAGAATTTGCACATGAAAGGGAACGGGAGATAGAACGAGAGAGTGAAACCGCGAGGCATAAGTTTCCAATTCAAAAAGTTGCTCAAGATGTGCGCTTGTAAATATTTCAATATTTATTAAACTTCATGTCAATCGTTGGTCGTGATGTTCATGTTCCACAATTGTTAATGCATATTTGGGTACATAGATACCAGTAACTCTGCAGCGTCTAGTCTCCACATGCGATGTTGACTAAAAAACTTGTCTCGCTCCATACTCCATACACACTAAAAAAACTCGATACCTGACGTCGGAAGCAGCCGGTATGAAGTGTAATTTTCCATCAGATGGCTTGATCGCATCGTCAGCTAATGTATTGGTACGGAAAAAGGATCCGAATCGACGGCAGTTTCGAAAGATGTCCATGGCCGACAACTTCAATTCCAGGGAATTGCCCGACTGGGGGCTTCTGAAATGTGGCTTGGGTGACTGGCTTTTATGTGTAGCCTTTATCATGGCATGTATTCCCTTACCTGTGGAATAGAATATGCGCGTTGCCAGGTAACGTGAAGACAGATTTTTGGTTGGCAGCAGGCGCATCGAATCGCAGCGCATCGCTTCGAAACCGTTTGCTGAAATCGTTAGAGCGCGCCCCGAAAACCCAACCCTTGTTGACACCATAATCGTGCCAAAGCAGCGACGAGCCAAATCGCCCCCATAAAGCAGATGGCAATAATTCCAGCCGCACAGAGATTCCAGAAGCTCCAGAAGCTATTCGAACCGGATTCCAAGTAGGCACTGACGGCCAATGATGTTGTGCTATAAGCAATTCTCTTGGTATTGCCTGTTTGACACCATTCTACCTAACGACGGGCTCTGTAGCTGGAGTATCCGGGACAATTTCCGTGCAGTGTCGATCTCGGTCTTGGGTGCGGTGCCACTCGAGAAGGCTGCGCATCCTCGCTCTTGGGGCCGCTGGGAGCCAGTTTGTCTAAATCGCTTAAAAATTGGATTGCACACGAGTTTGCCTCGATCTGAAAAACCCGCGAGCTGCAGTAGACCTCTGTGGGCAACTCATCGAAGCGTAGCCTTGAAAAAAACGTGAAAACAATGATCACGCCACCTACCATAATTTTTCTGTCACATTGTTGTCATTTCTATAGGACATCACATACTGCAGTGTGCCCTGCGTCAAGTTTCTGACCGTCAGGTAGAAGTGTTTCGGCGGAACAACTAAAAGGCCTTAGATTACCGAAAACTAGGGCAGACCTTCAACTGAGTATGCGTAGGCGCGGTAGTCCATTGTCTGCCTGACATCCCACGGATAGCCCAGACTGAGTTCTTCGGTAAACTGTATGTCTATGTCGTCATCCGTTTCCTGGAACAATGTATGTTACAAGTCTATATAGCAGTAAACAACTGTCTTTCCGACGATCGCATAGTCTGGTGGGCGCGGTGCGTAGATGAGGTCGAATGTCGCGTTGCCAAAGCGGAGTGTCGCGGCAGACATGCTCCATAGTAGATTGGAAATGCTGGTCCGGCCATCCCTGATGGGCGTCTCGACATCATCAACGATACACTCACATCAAGAACTTGTCGACCAGCTGTGTCTCGTTGCGCTCGGGAGGGATGGAATGTGTGTAGCAGGCGATCGTCGAAAGGCCTTCCACCTAGTTATATTAAAATTTTTAGAGCGTAAACCTTACAGTTTGCCCTCGCGACTGCCGAATGTTTATGAAATGTAATCGGTAGTAAACGCTGGTCACAAACGTATGAACTTCGCCAGCGCCTATTCGTTCGATGGAATGCGTTTGGTGAGAGGGCGCAACGTGGGTGTAGAGGTTTGGTTTTGCTGGGAATGTTTTTAGCCTTTTAAGCATATAAGTAGATGTAACAAGCTATTTCCATCGCAAAACCTATACCTGGAAAGAACTGCTCGCATAGCACGGTAAATGCGTAGGTGTAGTTGGGATTGTCCCTATTTGTCCTTGTATAGCCTTGCAATTCGACTAGCGTGATCGGAGACCTTAGATCGAAGACGGTCAACGAGATTCCAAACGCAATATCCGAAGTCCAGGAACTGGAACGTTTGTGTAGGTAGATCAAAGGTTTGTGGCTCAGAACATCCCGTAACATTTGGGGGTTTTAAAAAACCCACTATTCATACGAACTCGGTTGCACGATCCCGCCATTTATTGTAAACGGCAGGGCCTCCAGACACAGCGTACGATCTGCTTGGAGACAGGAAAGCCCAACAGAGATCCGAAGGTGACAGTCACCTGTGCAATTGGCGTAAAACATGGTTTTCTGGAAAATTTGAGTTTAGGTTTAAACGTGTAAAAGTGGTTCCCTTCATCACAAAGCTTTGCAAATAAACTTGCGTTGCCCGCGAAATCGCCCCGGTGCTTCACCGCCGAAGGTGAATTCTCAGTAAGCTCGATTACTTCAATTTTTGCCGCACAAACTAGAATGAAGTAATTGTGCTATCTCCTAATGATGTTGTTGCATATCAGTACAAAAACCAAAAATCAGCAATTTGCGACTTTTGGTTCGCTGTTTTCGCGACGAGACCTACTTTCCAGAATCACAAATAAACGACAGTAAGACACGATCCGCATCGAGGAAAAAACTGTTCCGTTGTTCTTTGGCTACCCAGCCGGAAACAATGTGTCCTCTTCTGAAAAATATATAATCCGAGGGTTGACAGTAGTGTTATCAGCGTGTGGTTTAGAAAGCGGGGCTGGGCAAACCCGCCGCTTCTCGCCGATGCGGATGTGGTTGTGCGGTTCAAGTGATAGGGCACGTTAAACAAAAATCTGTGGTTTTGGGGGGCCGGTTTCTTTGGAGTCGAACCATTTTCAAATATAATAGCAATCACTCTTCATTCAAGGATCACCCTCGGGACAATAGACTCTTCCAAAAGGTTTCTCTCGTGGTTTTAGCAAAGATTATGAGCTGAATATGTCAGGAAAAGCTCATATGTGTTTGTATAAATATAATAATTGTAATTGTAAGTAGCATCTTTATTGGGGGAAAGCCTTCCTCTAATCATGAGTGGCAGCAGCACCCGCTGACAAGTCAACGTAGGGAGTCTCGTCAGCAGCAGCAAGCGGCGCATCACTGAAACCTTGCCATTTTGACACCAGGGCTGTTGCCTGAAATCCAGATAGTAGTCGTTTGGCTTGACGAGTTGAAAGTGACCACGCAGTTTCTCGGTAAGCCTAGAGAAATTTGGGCGCAGCTTTGGTATAGGTCGCCAGCAGCTTTCCATAATTTCAGCCCTAAAAGGACAAGAATTATGCACTGCAAGCGCGTTACATCCAATGGGGTGTGTCGCTAGGTGGTGTTAGAGTTGCCCCAGTACTCAGATGGTCCAATAATTTGTCGTTTGGGATATCATCGAATGGCGTTTGGCCAAAAGCGTGCATTTCCCAGAGCAACACCCCAAAGGACCAACTGAAAGGCAAAACTTTTCGTATTAATTAGGTGCATAGATTCTGCTTACACGTCCGATTTTTCTGAGAAATTGTTTTCTATAGCTGCTTCTGGAGATGACCATCGATTTGCGGCATGAACCCGGTCCGTGTCGCTCTTGCGAAAATGGCTATCACTAGTCCTGAGACTTTTAGTGAAATTGGAGATCTGAAATGTTGTTGTTTAAAAATTTGAAACGCGGAAATGAAAAAACTTGTGGTGAAAACACGACCTTGGCCAACTTTTCTGATGTTAACAAAACGTTTTTTGCAGCGACATCCCGATGGATCACGTTGATGCTTGCTAGAAACGCCTGTAAATATTCAGAATACGTAGAGACTAATAAACCTCACCAAGCCATCAGCAACTTGCCAACTGATCAGCGGAAAATCAGCAAAAGTCACCGGCAGGTCCGAGTCTTTCTAAAAACCGAATGCTTCACCACTTACGCCTACAAATTCGTTTTCTCGCGCACCAGTTTGATGTTCTTCACAAGGGTCAACAGGTCCCCAAGCGCGCAGTATTCCGTCACTACCACCGGACTTGAGGAGTTCGTGACACAGCCCATCATCGATAGCAGATGTGCATGCGGTGGAATCGATTTCAGCACTTTGATTTCATGTAATATATCATTCCTATAAAACAAAAATAGTACCTTTGAAGGAGTAGCCAACTTACTTGGCATCTAAGGCAATGGCGGACTTGACGATAACCTCGAAGCCATTTGGCGTAATGGGATATAGCACCTTAAAGGGCTAGTTCAGCCAATAAGACAAAAGAATTTCCGCGGCCGGGGGTCGAACCCTCTCTGCGTTTTTTTGTCTGCGCCTCACTCATTTCCCAGATCTCTAATAGCTGCCGTAATGGGGAACTGTTCGGGCGCACTGTGCCTACGTCCATAGTTTCCCAAGGTACCAGCCCAAGCTCTAAAAAGTTGAACTAGCCCTTTAAGGGCTGGAAAAACCGCTAAAAGGTTTACCTTGAGAACGGGGTATACCCGAGTGCATGGCGCGGTTCCATAGAGGACCGTCTTCTTCAGTAGGTGTCGCTCGTTTTGATATACTTCCTCGCCGAAATACAGCGTCGTTGCGTCCAGCTCCCATTTTGCGTCAGTGGAGCGGTTCATTCGTGTTTGCCGCCTAGACGAACGAGACGTTTTTTAGCTTGCGGACTGGCTCTCACCCTAATAATTTAGGAGCATGATGCCGGACTCCGGATTCCCCCCATTTGCCTGGCACTCAGCAGACGTTTTCTAGAAAGGTCTGGATGTGCCTGACAAGGGAAGCACCTAAGGTCAAGGTGGCGTTTCGTTATGGTACCCAGCCTATTTTGTGTAGAATTTTTTGCTGATTCCGAACGTGTTTTCAATTTTTGCTAAATAGCCCAATTTCAAAAGTTATAGCGATTTTAAGGTCATATTTTAGCCCACGGGAAGTCATCTGTCACGATGCCCAACTTTTTTGTTTTAATAGGACAGTCAATTTTTAATGGCCTATCTTGTAGAGAATTTTTTTCTGATTCGATTGGTATATTTCATTAGTGCGTTAGTACCTATCGACGATCACTTACGGGGGGTGTGAAATAGGCCGTTTTTCACCATTTCCCATACAAAAAACGGAGTCCATACCAAGTATCGTCGATTTTTTCAATTTTCAACAACTTTGAGTTAAATAGCTCATTCGATAGCAAAAATTTTGCTGAATACGATGGCGTTATTCGTTTTTGAGGAATCAGACGGGAAAGGCAAGATAAATGACTTTGAAGTTCGAAAATTTGGGAAAAAATGGAACTTTGAAACGCTATAACTTTTGAAATTCGGCTATTTAGCAAAAAAATAAAAGCGGATTCGAAATCAGCAAAAAATTCTGCACAAAATAAGCTGGGTCCCATAACGAAACGCTACCTTGACCTTAGGTGGTTCCCTTGTGAGTACTAACCTTCTCCATAGCGCCACTAGTATCGCGACAATCAGAAAAACAGCTGCAAGCGCAGCAACAACTGCCAGTCCGATTTTGAGCAAATTTGTATGTGACTTGAATGATGACTTAGTGGTGACCGTTGGCGTGCTGAAAAAGCTGCTTTGGTTGGGGTCGCTACTCAGCAAACCTTGACTTGTAGCTTCGACCGATCAACTCAGTAGTGGTGGTCGGGAATGGAACGATCTCCGTACATTCGCGGTTATTGTCATCGTGACGCAACCACTCGAGGCGCGTCCGCATCCGCGCACCGAGTTCAGCGGGCTTCCAGTAGGTCTAAACGCTTACGGTCTAAACGTTAAAGGGGCTCCAAACTGCCAAGAATGGAGTTAGGGCCCGAAAACCGGAACCCTGAATGTCGAAGAGCTTTTACACGCTGAGAGGGCGGGAAGCGGGTGGATTTGAAATTCCACGTCGTCATCACCTCCAAAATCCCGTTCCGGCTGTTTATAGGGCCAAATTCGATGATCAAGACACCAAAACTATTTAAAATTGGTTGGGGATTTCAGAAATGAGCCCAGAATCCGCGAATTTTATTGGTTTGCACGATGAAATCGAAAAAAAACAGTTTCGCGCAAAAAAACCCCAAAAAAGTGAGGGCTCTCCTCCCACCGCGGCCGCTGGCAACAACTTGCCAGCAACCAAAAAGGCCTCGCAAAAGGGCTTTGGTTTGGCAGCTGTAGTACTCGATTAGTTAGTTAGGGTAGTGGTAGTTACTAAAGCCCCTCTGTTCCAAACAACCCACCTGGATTTGAATGATGCGCGAACTGCAGTAAATCTCGGTCGGCGCCTCCGTGAAATGTAGCCTTAAATGGTTCTAATAAAACCACAGCCAGTATAAAACACACTACATCGCAGTCTGGACAACGCTGTCGTTTTGGTAGTACATCGCATAAGTCAGGTTGCCAAGGGACAACCGATGGACCGTCAGACGCAAATGCGTCAGCGGATCTCCTGAAAAGCAGCCGGTTGGCGACGATAAAATAACCCGCCTGCAAGCATGTAGGTCCAATTGTAAGAAGACGTTTGCGTCACGCCGCCCGGGTAGTCGACGCTGAGCTCGTCGGTGCAGCGCGTGTTGATGTCGTCGCTTGTGGCCTGTGTGAATTTTACTGTGTTTTACTGTTACTCGTTAACTTCATAATTTCCAACCACCCAGTCAAACACCTACAGCCTGAAATACATAACTGGTTGCCCACGGTTTCATGCTGTAGCTCAGGCCAAACGTCGCATTGTGGAATTGAAGAGTGGCGATGTAACGGCTCCAAAAAAAGCGATGTAACGCTTGTATGGCCATCACTGAAGCGCTTTTCAGAAAATTTGTTTATATCATATACGACTTCAATCTAGAGATGTTATTATTCAAATCAAATCCTACTCAAATCCGATTTGATTTGAATAAGAAGATTTGAGATTTGATTCCGCCGAAATCAAATCTGGATTTGATTTGAAACTGGCTGGATTTTCAAATCAAATCCAGATTTGATTTGAGAAACTTTCAAATCTGCAGTCATTTTTACGGATGTAAATCACAAGTCGAGAACCAAAAAAATGTAGGCAAAAGAGGGAAATTTTTAATGTTTTGCATATGATCATAATCGAATAAACCGGAAATTGATGCTAAGCATCCATTTTCTCACATTTGCTTCGGAAATTTGGATTGCTCAAATTAATCAAATCAAATCGGTCCAGGATTTGATTTGAATTGGACTTCCGGTTCAAATCAAATCCGATTTGATTTGATTCTGCCGGCAAATCAAATCAAATCTGGATTTGATCTGAGAAACTTTCAAATCCTCAGATTTGATTTGAATAATAACATCTCTACTTCAATCCTTTGCTTGTTCCAAACCTGAGGCATTAGACTTACAACGTGAACTGATCCGCAAAATAAGTTTCATCCCCTTCGCCGCGCAGTGGGCCGGCGTAGATGTCGACGAGACCAGCCTATCAAAAATCTACTAGTAAGCGTACTAAAAACATGTCAGTTGCCTCTTCATGTTGAGAAACCCGTATCGTGTTGAAGTATAAAAAGGTAGTACGGCGCCAGCGCTATAAAGGTGTGCACAGAACCCGCGCGAATATTCGCGATTCGCTGAATAGTGTAAGCTTGGGCAACATGTGTGAAAAGGTCCGGAGGTGCTGAAAGTTAAGAAATGCTTTCAGTGGGCCAAGAGGCTTTTTTTCACCTGGAAAAAACTGATCACTGAGAACCGAAAAGGCATAGGCATATCGCGTATCGTTTCCTTTTAGCGTTTTAAAATCTGGCGACTCGGCGAGTCTTATCGATGGGGGTAGGTCGTTAAGGAATATTGAGACTCCATAAGCTATATCCGCTGTCCATGTGCTGAAAGTAGAAACAGGTCTTAGGTTTCTGAGCCTCAGGATTCCATGTAACATGCAAAATTACGAACTACATATGCGAATCAGCAATCCTCGTGGTGCCATTGACAGTAATCGGAACAACTTCATAAAGAGACTTCGTAGCATTTATAGGGCAAGACAGCCCAATGACTATGCGAAGTCGACAAGCAGGCTTGCAATTCGTATAAAAGGTCATGTTCTGAAAAAGGCGCGTTTTTGGTTACCCATCCTGTCAGGTTAAAAAAGGATTTTCAACGATGAAAAGTGTATGATAGTGAAGTAGTACCTGTGCAACCAATTCCGGACGATGCTTTGTTGCCACTGGTGTCTTGGGTGTGAGTAGAACGGTCAGATCTGTTGCCAAACAACCTAAAAAGTGACGAATATTCATATGGCCAATATTCGGTTAATAAGGATGCGCCAAGGTTTCTTTTACCTTTCCCCTTGTCAACCCGAATCAGATTCAGCTAAGGAAACCCGTAGTATCCCTTACTTTTAAGGAATACCATAAACATCCATAGGTGCATGGTTTTGGATCTTTTGATTCTTACAGCGCGTAGTAACGAAAAAGGACAGAGTCGCACGCAATAGACAGTGTTTGTACACTGGTTTTGTGCCGGAATGCTTATCAAAAGACTACCCGTGCCACAAGTTCCGCGTCGAAACTGCGAGGAAACTTATACGCAAAAAAGCTCTTGGATTACCATCGCTTTTACGAAATAACGTCGTGCGCAAATCCATCATATTTCCCTCATAATTTTAGCACTATTCGACTATGGGTAAAATTGCAGACCTGAAACAAAGCTAGAGAGTTTAAAACTATTTTCTCGACAGATTGCTTGTTATAAAGATCACCTTGGCCATTTTCTCCGACGTCAATTACACCTTATTGGCTGCACCATCGCGATGGATGACCTCGGTACTTGACGAAATATCCTACTATCCCACAGTTTACAGTACAGGGTGTCCCAAAAAATCAACTCCCTCTAGCGGGCCGCAGTCGTGCCGGATTTTGACGATTGAGGTATCTCTGGAAAGCTCTCGGAAAGGCGAGCAATATAGGAAATTTAATTGCAAAATCTAATAGTACGAAGCTGGTATACGTTTTTTCAGAAAATCGTTGAATATCAGACGCGGGGTAAAAAAATTTGTAAAACGAAAAGCGCTTGTTTTCTCGCCCTTCCGAGAGATTTCAAATGTTTTTCGACCCAAAATGACAAAAAATAAAAATCGTGAGCGGATCCGTACCCTCATTACTATCTCCAGACGCCGACTACTATGCCACTAGGCTACCAGGACACGGCGGTTGGGATGTGGGAAGGGCCTATGAAGGTATTGCCAAGACTTTAAAACGCTGTAACTTTGTAAAATAAGGTATCAGCAGTTAAATCAATCGATTCGTCTCGTCGAGCTCTACAAGATGCACATACTCAAATAACTGGGTCCGATATCCGCCCGAAAACATTCCCGAGTGAGGGGCAAACCAATTTTTTTGCCTGGTGGTCCCGCTTGGCCTAATAATGGAATGCATGATGATGTTTGTTACAAGCATTTTTTTACATTATTTTTAGCAATTTTTAACTAAATTTAAAGTACAAACAAAACTTTCAAAAAAGTTAAAAAAGTGGGGACGAGGGTACCTTTTGAATTTGCGGGATCCAATTTTTTGTGTAAAGGACGTTTCTGGGTGTCTGTCCGTGTCTATTTCCTTGTAACTGAAAGCTCGTAAAATATTTATGCCCTGGAACTAGACCCAAACTTGTTACGAAAAGCCTTGGCAACGAGCCTCATATCTTGGTAGGAATTTTTGTGAACGGGGGCATCTGCTGGCGCAACGCCTTCGGCTCCTTCCGGCCCTTCCGGGAGCACGATGGCCACTTCGGGAAGCTCTATTGGCCTCAGGAAGTTATCCAATTGCGTGAACAGCACCTCTAGCGAAGGTCGTTCCCCCACCCGCTGCTCCCAGCACGAGTACATTATCGTACGACTAAGAAATTCTATGGAAGTGCTATCAGGGTATGTACATTTCATCCGGTGTATTAGGTGGTGTCTCAAGTCGGTTGCCTCTCCTCAAATGGTCCAGTAGTTGTGTCGTTTTGATGCCCTCGTAGACTGGTGAACCGTGGGAGTACATCTCCCAGATCAGGACGCCAAATGACCACCTAAATCTGGGGGTGTTGCTAACATTTGACTACAAATGGTAACTAAAAAGTGGTAACAACTGCTAACAATTGCTAAGCGAATCTGGAAATGAATACGTACACATCTGACTGCTCGGAAAATACACCAAATTCGATTGACTCCGGCGCACTCCAGCGAACGGGAATCTGCCCTCCATGGGTTTCCAAGACGCCGGTTTGACGGCTCAACCCGAAATCGGCTAGCTAAAGATCTTGTTTTACGGTATCGGGTCAATTTCAACCTTTGCCACCTTCCTAGGAGTGAGTAACACATTTCGGGCTGCGACGTCACGATGAATCAGGCCCTTTGAGGCCAAAAATTGCTGCAATCGTACTATATATAAAAAAAACAGTGTCTCTGTGAGCGTGCCACTTTGCATCCAACTTCCGTCAGACTGTCCGGAGGATATCTCCTTGGAGGAAGGGTTTTTTGGTGTTTCTGATACCTCATTAGATGCGCATTGGCCCGGAGATGATTGCACATACATTTTTTCAAAATATACTATTTTTGACATTAAATTAAGTTTTCGTACAAAAATCTCGGACTCCCACTTTGTAAGGAAAAAGATAGCATCCGCCGAAAGGGGCGGTAGCCCATATAATGGGACAGAGGGGCGCTTTTAATATTTCTTCGCATTGGGGGCCCTCCGTAAAGAATTTCTCTGCTCAGACGGGGACGGGTTAAACAGTCGTGTTGGGTTTTTTAAGTATAAAATTTTGGGAAAAGGGGTTTAATGGGATTTTTTCGAAAGTTTAGGAGTACTTTGTGCTCTAGTTGCTTACCAGGGCTTGGACGACCTCGATCGCGATCCGAGGAAAATCCTCATTGACCAACAACGGCTCCAAAAGCTCAGAATCGTGTTCAGACCTTCGCGCGGCTCGCATTGCCGCCAAAATCGAGTACAAGCTCCCCATGCCACAATACTCGGTCAGTATCAACGGATTCGTCGGATTGTCCGTACATCCCAGCAATCCAATCAAATGCGGATGATAGCCAATCGTCTTCATCAATTCGATCTCCTCGAAAAAGACTTTTCTAGAGGGAAATTGGTATAGTTCGCTGGTGCTGTAGGATACGTACGTCTCCACTTCTGCTTTTGGCCGTTTTATGGCAACCACCACGTCTCTGTTTTCAAGTGGAAAGTCTTCCTAGATAAATAGTCATGGCGTTACAACCTTACAACCCAATACCTCCAATTCCGGATACACCAAAGTACATGGCAATGGCCCATTATAGGTCCCAAGATGTACGTAGGCAAATGCTCCACGTCCTATTTGCTGTCTTATCGCCAAAAATCCCGCCTCAATCTCCCATTGTTTCGTCTTTAACTCCCTAAATTAAAAATTCAAGTATACTTTTTTTACTTACGTTAATTGCAATGCGTTTGCAGATACTCGACGCCAGGCACTAAAAATTTGGATGCTACCGCTAAATTTTCGTACAGTACCGTTCGAGCAGGAACCAAGTGGACCCGATCTCGATACCAAGGACCATTAACAAGGCTGATAAGTATGATACGATAACCGTCGGCTTTTTCTTAATTTTTCCGAGGCGTTTTGAGATATCGAGTTGCGCGCACGGTTCGAGCCAGCCGCTCGGGATTGTGACGCAGCCATAGAAGAGGAAACTGCTGTTGTATTTCGTTGATGGGGTCCAGCGTAGCTAAAAATAGTGTTTTTACATGGATTTGAATATTTAAAATCATGCAACGCTTTCGAAATATCACTCTTGTTGTGTCCGCGAGTGTGCTTG